GCAGGGATACTTTTCGATTGGGCCCTGCAGGGATGGATATTTGGTGATTGGATATTATAGGAATATTCTGCAGTTGGAGCTGCAAGGATACTTTGTAATTGGGCACTGCAGGGATAAGCACTGCAAAAATATTTGGTGGTTGCTCACTAAGGTCAGCTTCTAATCGGGCGAAGACAATATCTATTTCAAAATCTAGTACCCCCACTGCAAGGCTACAGAAATAAATAGAAATCTTTAAATCTAAACGAAAATCCGATCAATCAAAATAGAAAAATTCTTAAAGATCTTATGATCTTTAAATCATGAGGAATGATCAAACGAAATCGAAAAATCTCAAGAAATTCCAATCGAAGAAAATATGAAAACTATCGAAATTTTCAAGATTTCGTCCGAAATAATTTTCAGAATTTCAAATATTTCGACTATAATTTTCGCGTCGGACGAAATCCTCAAAAATAGAGAATATAATAAATAATTTCGGACATCATAGAGAATCGAAAATCTCGAATTTTTCAAGATATCGTCCGAATAAATTCCGAACGCAAAACTATTTGCAGGAGATATCTATCATTTTATAGAATAAATGAGATATATAATCTTTTGATTATCTCCCTCCCCATGATCTACCTCCAGATCTTTCCTTGATATAAAAATGTTAGAAAATACTATAAATACCGATGAATTTGCTGTTTGGCGGATATCATATTTCGCCCTTCAAACTACTATGAGTTTTTTTATGGTTTACAAGGATTGAAAAATTAATGAATTAATTAAGGAAGCTTCGAAATCTGAGGATCTAGGACCTCCACTTCTTATTATCTGAATTAGATTTAACAAGAAATATATATAGCAGAGAGCTAAAATACAATATTCAGAAAAATCCAAAAATCCAAAAATCTAATTTTTTTAGGAGAATCTCTATGATTTTTGGATTTTCGGATTTTTGGATTTTGGGATTTTCAGCAAAATCCAAAAATCCAAAATTTTTAGGAAAAGCTCTGAAAATTTTGGATTTTTGGATTTCCATTTTTTTTAGATTTTTATATAAAATCCCAAAAAACCAATGGAAATATTTGTATTTTCGTATCTGGTAGTATCAAACCATTATATTTCTAAAGATTCATTAGATTTTTCATAAAAATCCAAAAAAATCAATGGAAATATAATGAAAAATCCAAAAGATCTTTAGGAAATATATTGGTTTGGTACTACCAGATACGAAAATATAAATATTTCCATTGATTTTTTGGGATTTTATATAAATATCTAAAAAAAATCAATAGAAATCCAAAAATCCAAACATCTAAAAATCTAAACCTTTCAAAGAGTTTCCTAACATTTTTGGATTTTTTTTTGCATTTTTCATTTTTGGATTTTTATGAAGATTGTATACCTGTTTTCTGCTTAATAAATACCTTGTTAAATTTTTCTTCATAATACCGAAATCACGAATTTCTGGGCTCTTCCTATATTTGGGAGTTTTAGCAGATCGTAAATTCCTTATTAAATATATCAAAATCCTATATTCCTAGAGTTATGGATTTCGAAGCTTTATTAGATTATATACTACTTAGTAATTTTAATATAAAAGAAAGGCTGGAAAAATATATTTAGGAATCCTGCTGGAAAAATATGCATTTTGGAATCCTGATTCTAGCTATTCATTTTAATTGAATTTAATAAATATATTATAAATAATAAAGTAGAATGCAGATTCAAAATGCCCCAATTCATATATTTATTATTTGATTACGAAATTTAAATATATATGAATTATAGCATTGTTATTTTAAAATAATCTATATATTCAAATCATATGAAATTTATCTGGGAGCTTTCTCAGATCGTGCCTTTTTTCTTAAATTTAGATAAAAATAATATCAAAATCCTATATNNTCCTAGATTCCTGGATTTCGAAGCGTTATTAGCTTATTTATTAATATTGATTAAAAAGAATATCTGGAAATCATATATATTTAGGAATCCTGGTCTTAGTCATTCATTCTAAACGAATTTAAGAAGTAGATTATAAAGCAGAATATAGATTCGAAATATCATAATTCATATTCTCATTATTTAATTATTTCCTAGATTTATATATTTCGAAGGTTTTTTAGATTATAAAATTTTTATTAATTTTGATGAAAAATTATTGGAAAAATATCTATTTAGGAATCCTGGTTCTAGCTATTCATTTTAATGAAATTTAAGAGGCATATTATATAATAGAATGCAGATTTTAGATATCATAATTTATATATTTTCATTTGGTTATGAAATTTAATTATATATGAATTATAGTATTTTTATTTTAAAATAGTCGGCATATTCGTATAATATAATATTAGTATATATTTAATAATAAGATTTAGGAATATATTAAATTCAATATTAGATTATAAATTAATATCTTATCGTATTCTGTACGGAATAAGGATAGATTAATATTTATAATAATAAAAGTCATTACGAAATAATTTGTAATCCTATAACTAAACTACTATAAAGCCTTTTGCTTTTGCGGTTGCAATGATCGATTGAATGAAACGCATTCTCTTTGAGATATACAATCATTTATCTGGCGCGTCTTTTCGTAGGTGGCTTTATTTTATATAAACTCCATTTGAAAATCAATTAAGAATATTCTGTATTGCTGGCTCCTAGATTTTGAAGCTATTTCCAGTCTTATAAATTCCGTATTATATATAATTAGAATGAATAGTAAAATATTAGATTCCTATATCCGTGAATTTCGAAATTGCTTATTTTTTTTTTCTTCTTAATAAATTTAATTAATACTAATAGCGAAAATCAAGATTCTTAAATATATAATTTTATAAGTTATTTCTAGCTCCATGAATTCTTTATTGTCTTTTAATTAGAAATAAATAAAAAAGCAACTAGAATTCCAAGATTCCAGATTTAAAAAAATTCTATTGAACTCTTAATTAGATTTTGCAAAGAAATATATATATAATAAAGCCTCCTCCAAAAGCAGAATTTCATGATTCTACGAATTCATTTAAATTCCCAATACCATTATAAAAGAAATAATAGACAAAGAATACTAAGATTCCAAATTTTCTCCTGAGTTCTAGTCATGAAGACCTATACGAGACTCCCCAATCCATCAAAAGGTAGCTTGGGGGGGTGGGGGGGGGGCCAGCAATCTTTCATATCTTTCTTCATTCATCGAATATATCTAATATATAAATAAAAATTTAACGATAGACAATCAAATATGATCAATATGAAAATTAGTATAAATATTCGAAGAGCGCATTTCTCTAGAAAAATAAATTGAATAAGAGAATATGAGAACGATAACCAAATAAAGAAGATATAGTTATAATTAAGGTCCCTAAACATCTATGCCCGAATGATGGTAACTTCCGCGCAATCACGTGCATCCGGGTCAGAGCATCCATACCGAACCAGAATGACGTCCTTTCCCGGGTGCGCGGGAAAGGCTGCTTTTCTAGTATCTCATAGGTCAGATTGAAGAACTAAGTAAGAAGCGTCAACAGATCCACTGGTTCAGTTTTGTCTTACACACGCTGCCTGACTTAAGGTGTCTCACCCAAATCTGCTTCTCATGATCAATTTTCACGTCTGCCACCTTCTTCCCGCCACACAAGGTTTTATTCTTGGGTGCTTCAAATTAAAGACGAGATTGTTTTGGAGCTGTGTAGGGAGACACCACCTGCTTGAACTGCAAAAGTGTCTTCAGGGAGGCCGCCTGAGACAGCTGCCGTGAATGTCGACGCATGTCAAGAGGCACTACAAGAACTTATTCCAAAATCTCTCTTAGCATTAGCTGTTTTCTGCCGCGCACATTTTTAAGCGGTGTGCGTCGTTGTCCAGCGCTGGCAAGTTCTCAGTATAATCCAATCACCTGCACTGGCAGGGTTGGCTTCTGACGTGGGTGTTTTTCAGAGACTAGTGCTCCTGTCCAGGGGTCTTCAAGGTCTCACCGTTGTGAGTGGACCTTTGACTGTTCACTTACGCGCAGGCAACGAAGGCAGCGAGCTGCGCCTTCCACCAGATGGCACCCACGCCAACCTGGTGGAACGCAGCCAAGGCCATTCAAAGTCCGTTTCAGTGGGAAGCTACCAGATTCAACAGCAATCTCTTTTGAGGCACGCAGAAGTACAAGGTTCGCGGACAGGGCTAGTTGGTTCATGTGAGGTCTACAGAGGCCTCCTGCGAACGCACAGTACACAGTGGGCAAGTGCATCATGATGGTCCGGGCAGCTCACCCACACAACCATGTTGAAGAGAATGAAGATCAGGCCCAGCCTGCAACAACACTTGAGACCGGGGCCTGTACGCTTCGGGATAGTTTGCAGTATGAGTCTAACAGATTGTAGGACACTCAAAACACAAATTGTTCAGGTTCGCACAACTGATGGATCCCCCCAAACTTTTGCCAGATTGCAGCGCTGGACCTGTACCAATCCTTCAAGGACACATAGTTGCCACCGAAGAAGACGGGAGCCTGTGAGGTCACTGTTCTGGTTTAGGTGTTGGCCACTGGCTATTTGTAGAGAGTGATGGAAAGGAAAGGACTACTAGACTCTTGGGGATTAACTACACAGGGGCTTTCCGGATTGGTGACAAAAGTGATGGTGTTTGCATTACTGACCAATGTGCTTTGTCATTGTCATTCACTTTCCTCATGCCGACAAAAAAATGCAACGTAGGGAGTTGGTTGGAGCCTTGGAGCCTACTATCATATATACAAGACAACCCTCGTGGCTAGCGGCTAGTGATATGGAATGTAATGGCTCATGCTATTTTGGGTATACTATACTACATCAATCATGTGAGGGGCTGTCAAGATGATGGTCCCTTTTTGGGTCTCTTGCGTACTGCGCCCCCTATTATGTAGGGGGTCTACAGACCAAAACGAACGACATATTCGACAGCCTACCATCTATCCCCACACATGCCAGGAAACCTCCAGTATCCATGCCATCTTCCATTTGCTTGTCCATTATTGAGGTATTTTCGTTTTCCATCAGATTCTGCGTTATGGGGGTAAACATCTTGGAGATCACTAAACAATATAATGCCTTCCATGTTTCCTACTCCCCTCACTTCATACCCTTAATTCATACAAACCCGAGCCCTAAAGCCTAAACCCTGCTCATGATCCAGTCCAGTAGTTTTTGGTACTAAACCTTGAGCCCTACACCCTAAAGCCTGGGCGGAGGAGTAGGGCGTCATGGAGCCAAAAATGTTCGACGCAAAGGCCAACCTTTCCAATTCACAGAGGGTGGCTTCACAAATAGGGGCCCAATAGACCCCAATATACTACCAGCCTGATGAAAAAGCCCTAGATTGAGCGCCGCGCTTAGGGTTTACGATTTTCGGGGCAGGACGATGGATTTGTGCAAGCTGCCGTATTTCCCAGAAGGAGGGCAGTCTGTGTCTCCAGGAAAACCCAACAGTCCACCTTTTGTGGGGAGCCCATCGATTTGCGAAATCCTCAAATCAGGTCTCCCCCTCTGAGGAGCAATCGAGAAGACAGCAACCATGGGCGGCGTTCCGGTTTCCACCTGGCTTTGGTAGCAAACAAGCGCATACCAGCTATCTCGAGCACTTCGGGAGCCTAGTCCTGGGAGTGTAATCAGACAAGCGGACGTTTACTTGGGCAGGATTCCTTCCGAACATTAATCTGCTTTCAGGTCACCGCATGCTTCTCAAGGAAAACACAAAGATTTCTGGGCTGCCACATGCCTTCTTGTAACACTTAGCTTGCCCAGGAGATCTTTTAAGCATGAAGTCTGTAGTACTTATGATTGCTTATGACTGCTGACCTACTTCCGGTCGGGTACTTTGCGATAAGAAACATATTTCGCACAATGGCCAACATGCAGGTGTCCATCTTTGTGAGAGCGGATTCTCGTCAATGTCTTTCAATATTCCATACAGCTGTCCTCCTCTTGAGGCAGTAGGGCCAGTAGGGTTCTTGTTCCAGCAACCGCCCACAAAACTTTGCAAGTGTGAGGACCCAACAAGTGTCTGAACTCAGTCAGGCGACCATCATCACAATAAATGGCAGGTACATGGCGCTGAGGTGCGCCACCTTCGCCATTAAGCTCGGTCACATACAGTTGGGACCGCATCCAGACTGAGCATCCGCAGAAAAAGACTACTTAACAACAATCACACTCATCTCGGCCATCTTAATCTCTGATACATCTTCATGCCTGTGACTGTGAACGTGCCAAGTGCAACCTCCGTCTTGCCATCCCTTTAATCCGACGGAACCTCACATGCAATCTCGAGAGAGATATATATACAGAAACAGATATACAGATGTATTTTCATATGCGTGGTAGTATGTATATATATATATACAGGGCAAGGAAAATCTCCAAAAGCTGCAAAGGATTAGCCTGCGAGGCAAAGACGTAGTGAGAGAAGACGTAGACAGTCAGCAAGGCCAGGAAAGCAGGGCCTCAGACATGTCCAGCTTTTCTTCTGCCCAAGGTTCGGCTTGCCACCGCCAGGCTGTCCTTGAGATTGGTGGAAAGCTCATATATGACGAGGGCCTTTCTTGCTTGTGAGCGCCAGTACTGGGCGCCCAGCAACCCGACAGTCCAGCTGCGGTGATCTTGGCAGAGATTGACCCTGCAAGCCACCTCTTCATCCAAGGGTTCCCAGGAAGGACCCCTGCGAACTTTCCTATGGCCTCTTATCGCGGTCTCAGCGATTTATGTTGGCTTATCCTTCTGGGTGACTGACAAAGAGCTGCAAGCTTGCAGGGACACGCCCTGAGCGTATGGCCAGCATCCTACCCTTGCCGATGCCCTAATCATTCTCAAGCCCCGGCAGCCACAGCGCTTGTTCATGCCTCCCTAACCGTCACAAAGCCAGCTGGTTTGTGACCATCGTACAAAACTGATGAACATTCAGCCAGCAGACTGTCCTTTGAGAAGATTTTGATTTAAGATGAGTGTGGTGAGGCAAAGTTGCCAAGGAATGCTGCACAGTGAAAGGCCTCACAATGCCGAGCTTGTTCAACATTGCGCTCATGCTCACAAGGATGGCAAACCATGTCATCGTGGTCCAAGCGCCCTGCACCAGGCGCAAGACAGGCATACCATGTCTGGCCCCAACACACGCAGACACAGAGCACAATCATGGCCTTTTGTGTTTTCGTGTTTTGAGACGTCAGTCCCGACTGTAATACGAGGTAAAGATGGAAGTTAGCTTGTGGCTTCAAAAACTCCAAATCTCTTTGCAAATCGTCTGATGCTTAGTTGGTCCACTTTAGCATGATGACCCATCGTGCTTCTGAGTTTTCTCTTAGACACGCGGGATATCTTGTCAGTGCGTTTGCTCGGGAAGTGAAGGTGCATGTCAGCGACATACGAACATCTCCTTTGTCTCTCTGGGGCGCCTCGCGCCTCCCCGCTGTAGCATCGGGCTGGCTTATGAGGAAAGACTCTCGTCCAACGCCAATCAAAGCAAGGTGTAAGAAATGTTCTCATCAACCCTGCCAAGAGTGGTATTGGTTTGATGTTTGGCCCCACGACCGCACACGATACTGCAGGGGCCTGCAGGGGCCACCCTATGAATGAGATGTACTGAAATTCCATGTTCCAGGGATAAAGGTGCATGCTCGCCCCAGTAACAAACATCCGGGAATCAGCCTGGCAACTCCCAAAGATCTGAGGTTTCCGGACCTATGAAGAATCAAGCCCCCTTCTCGCCCCCTCCTTCCCCAAAAGGATCAAGGGAAGACGACTTAGATAAATCGATTTATCAGAAGCCGTGCAAAGTCTTCACGGTCAGAAGAGAGCGTTCCGGGAAACTTGCGAATCTTGAGTTCAAAGCCATGCCTTCTCGCCGGCGCAGTCAGTCCAGGTCAGCACTCCAGTCAGCAGCAAGACCTTGAACAGCCATGCCATGAAATTCGACAATTTGCCAAACGGCTTTCTAAACATGAGCATAACCGCAATTTGAGGTCCGTGGCGGCAAGCTGAAGTGGGGTTTCCTGAAATTAGGGGTACCATTTAGGGGTCCCCATAATAGGGATTATAGTATATTGGGGTCTATGTTGGGTTTCCCTTATTTTGGGAAACTACCAAGTCTCTAATCATCGGCTGTTGTCATCGTCTTGATGGCAAATTGCCCGGAAGAGCCGAAGCTGCTCTGACCCTACGCACCAAATATTCTATTAGGGTTATATTAAGGTTATATTGGGGTTTATATTGGG